TTCGCCGCTCTGACTGTCCCCGACCCTACCTTCCCGCACCCGTGGTCGTCTCCGAGGGTTTCCTGAAGGTTGACTGTGACTTTGCCCTCACGGTGCGCCCTTCCTCCCTAACGCCGAGAAACGGTGTGGCCTTCGGGGCCGGCCGCTCGCCGTGGTCGCAGGTGGCCCGTTCGCCGTGGTCGCGGGTGGCCTTCGCCGTGATCCCGGGTGGCGATCACCGTGGTCGCGGGTGGCCGTTCCCCGTGGTCGCGGGTGGCGTTCCCGGTGGTCGCGGGTGGCCCGTTCCCCGTGATCGCGGGTGGCCTTCAGAGCGCGCGTCTGCACGTGAGCTAGAGCCGCAGAGAACCTTACTGCGCAGCCTCCCGCAGGGAGGGGATTACGGTCTGTGTCACCAAAATCAACAGCCCCCTTAATATCGGGAACAGGAGCAGCCCGCGCCTCTACCCAGCGTGGCCGCGGGACCACAGCTTTTCTCCGGCACGACACGGGAGGGAGGAGCGCGCTCAACTCCCGCGCGCGACGCTCTCCCGGCGCCTTCCCTTCCGCTGACGGCGACGGTCGCCCCGCCGGACCGGGCTGCAGGGAGAGTGGCGGCGGCCGGGCCTGGCCACGTGGGGACGGCGCTCAGCCTCCTGCCCCGCTGCGCCGGGTTTCCTAACGCACTGACTGGCGCCAGGAGATCCCGCAGCAATGCTTCGTATGTGCCTCAGTTTCCTCATTTGTAAAACGGGCCCGAAATACTTAGGTTTTGTGAGCAAGTGATAAGCGATGCTGAATGGTGACCGCCACCGTGGTGTCTGGCACGCACAAGACGCCCAGGAAATCTTGGTTGAATGCGCATCTTCGTTCCTTGAAGGTGGTTGTTGATTACGTCAACGAGATAGGCGTTTTGGAAACAGGTGTCGACACCAAAGCACTAGCGACAGAAGCGAGGAGACGCTGTCTCAGCCCCTTCCTCCCTCTCCTGCTTAGAAGGTCGCACAACTTGCAGAAAAACAGTCACTTGTCCGAGGTAACAGAGGGCTATTGTGCGCGTCACGGAATCCATAGTAACCCGGTGCTTCAGTGTCTCGCCCCGTCGCAAAGCCAAACGACGAGCCCAGGAAACCAAGGGACAGGAACTGTCGTCCTGGAGACTGGCGTCTCCACGCAGCAGCCGCAGCGAGGCCGGCAGGGAGGAGACGCTCTCGCGCCGCAGGTGTTCATGGGCAGATAAAAATCCGGATGATCTGTCGAGGTAGCGGTCTTTAATCGTATTCACCCCTAAGTTCTGTGATCGTTAAGAAGATAAACAATTTCATTTTCATCCTCTCTTGACTCCTGGGCCTCCCCACGTCCATTACCTGGGCAAGTACAAATCGGAAAGAAAATTCCCCCCAAAAGCGCAAAATAGGAAGTAGAAAGAGACGCAACAGCCTGCAGTCAACGAGTAATTCGAGTTTAAGCATCTTCGCCTGTTGTTGGTGGGGGGGGGGGGGAATCCAGTCATTTTAACCGAGCCATGTGTCCTCTTAGTGACCCGTGGGTTCCTTTTGCATTCTGGTTGGGTCCATGGTACCATCCTCTTTGTACAGATCTGTGTGCAATTTTTTCCTTCTCTTTTAAATAAAGCATCTTTTTGTCAAAGCCTACAGACATTGTTAAAGAAAAGTCTTTGAGATCAGACAGGCCTGGGTTTGAATCTGGGCTGAGTTATTTAAACTTCAATCACGTTTCCTCTCTGTGTGCCGGGGTCACGCCCCCCGGGCATGTCTTGAGAGCTTGCAGCAGCAATCACTCCTCCCAGGGGCCGGGACAAACGCCCCGCCCGGCTGGCTCGTTCCCCTCCTGTCTCCTGCTGAAACGCACGAGGCCCCGGCTGCGGGGCTGCGCCCCGGCGGTGACCGGGCTGTCTGTGCCCCGCGCGGCCCCGCGGGGGACGCGGGTGGGTGGAAGAGCAGCGGGTGGGTGGAAGAGCAGCGGGTGGGTGGAATAGCAGCGGCGGGGCTCCCTTCCGCGGAAAGGAAAGGCCGCCGCTCCCCAGCGGGTCTGCGCTACGCCCGCAGAGCACAGAAACCTCGGAAGATGAGCGCGCTTCGGAGGAAGCTATTTTTAAGTGGCCCCTGCCGGGTCGCAGGCTTTCTGGGAAGGCTGATTTCAGGCCTGTCGCAGCTTTCTGCCCGGCCTCCGTGTTCCTTGCGGTTGATCCCCACCTGCTGGCACAGTGTGGACCCTCCTTTCACGGCGCCCCAGACGGCGCCAGGGGCCCCCACCCGGGCCAGCACCCCGCGGAGGCTCAGAGGAGCGCCGGGACCGGGAGGGGGCAGAGTAAGCCCCTAGGACAGCAGAGCAACAGGGCTCCTTGTACAAGAAGAGGGACGTTGCTTTCTAACTCGGCACGCGTGGCTCCGCGGCTCCTCCTCAAGTCCGCGTCTCTGTCCCGTGAACCCTGGCGTGGAGGCCGCCGCGTCAGAGACCTGCGGAACTGGGCCAGTCCGCTCCCCGCCCAGGGCTCGAAACCTCAACCACTGTTTAACTTGCTCGCGGATCCGCAGGCCCAGCGAAGTTTGTCTCCATTCTGGGAGCATAAGCTGAGACAGTCTGAAGGCTGCCTGGGGAGACTCCGTGTCTGAGCGCTAGAATCTTCCGCAGACGTGTAATCTGCCGTGCACACCTGGCAGGTGGCGCTGGCACTGGCTGGGGCCTCGGCGCAGGCTGCCGTGCAAACACCTGCGCCGATTCCTCTAGACGCGGGGACCCAGGATGACCGGGCAGAAGCTGTGTTACATTTCACGACCTAACCTTGGAAGCCATTTGGCATCTCTTCCGCCCTTAGTGTCACAGAGAAGGAGCACAGGTCCCGCCCTTCAGTAGGAGGCGAGCCAGCATCGCTTAAGACGGCTGAGCTCGTCGCTGGCTGGACGACAACCGTCTTCCAGGAGTGGAACTGGCGGGGAATGCAGGCACATGCTGCTTGTTTGATAATAAGAATTAAGGAAAGGCCGGGCGCGGTGGCTCACGCCTGTAATCCTGGCACTCTTGGAGTCCGAGGCGGGCGGATTGTTTGAGCTCAGGAGTTCGAAACCAGCCTGAGCAAGAGCGAGACCCCGTCTCTACTAAAAATAGAAAGAAATTAATTGGACAACTAAAAATACATAGAAAAGATTAGCTGGGCATGGTGGCCCATGCCTGTAGTCCCAGCTACTCGGGAGGCTGAGGCAGGAGGATCGCTTGAGCCCAGGAGTTTGAGGTTGCTGTGAGCTAGGCTGATGCCACGGCACTCACTGCAGCCAGGGCAACAGAGTGAGACTCTGTCTCAAAAAAAAAAAAAAAAAAGAATTAAGGAAAGTCAGAGTTGTATTTTTTCACTTTATGCAGTTTTCGAAAACTGGAATATTGGAGGTGGGTAGGGGTGAAGAAATAGCATTGTAAGAGAAAACAGAAGTAGAATTTTCTTTAAAAGAAGATTTTATTAATTTGGGACACACTGTAAAATGAAGAACCCAAACTATTTATTTATTTTATTTTATTTGAACTTTTAGAGACAGGGTCTCACTATGTTGCCCAGGCTGGTCTTGAACTCCTGGGCTCGAGTGATCCTCCCACCTCAGCTTCCCTAGTAGTTGGAACGGCTCAAGCTGTTTTTAAACCAGAGGTTGAAGTCTTGCTTAGAAAGGCTCTCCCTACTTCAAGAATATTCACCTATGATTTCTAGTATTTTTAAGGTTTAATTTTTGATACATCTGGAAATGATTTTGATGAAGAGGGAGATTGGGATTCAGATTACTTTTTGTCTAAGCTGGAACATCTGTTTATTAAATAATCTTTTCCTCATTGATTTGTAATTTTATCATATACGAAGTTCCTATATATTTTGGGTTCTACTGGTGGACTCAATTAATCACTTTTACCCACTTTCTTATCCTACCAAGATAATGCCCCAACTCACGAGCTCTGGAGCTAGACAGAGCCGGGTGTAAACGCAGAAGCAGCTTAGCCGTGGCCTACTTGAACTCTTCAGGCCTTAATTTCCTTCTCCATAAATAGAGAAGGAAAATCTCATACCTCGCTGGGTTATTCTCAAGACTAAATGACTTAACATGTTGCACGAAATCGTTCGGCACGGTTCCCAGCACCACGCAGGCTGGGTCCTCTGGGAGGCCCACTGCGAGAGGGAGAGCCGGGTGCAGGATGCTGCTTTGGCGGTGCCCGGAGGTCGGCAACGCGGCGGGGCGGGCAGGGCGCAGGGCTGGGCAGAGGGAGAAGGTGGGTGCAGCCTCAGCCAACCTCACACGGCCCTTCAGCGCGGCCCCAGGCCTTTATGTGCCCACCTCCACCAGTGTTGCACGGGGCCACCGTGGACATGGGCGCGGCCAGGGGGAGGTGGCTCTCTGCAGCGAAGGGGCGGACAGCGAGATGCGCTCCCAGCAGACACATCTGTCATCAGAGGGACCCTGGCCGCACACCACGTTGCTCACACGCACCTCGTTAAAAACTTGTGATGTTTTCCTCTTCCTTATTTTCAACCCTTCGAGCGAAGGGCAGTGCAGCAGAGCTCCAGGCTGGAAGGCTCCTCGTCCCAGCCCTCTGGTACGTGGACACGTCGGTACTCGGCGCGTCACGGAGACGCGGAGCAGACACCGGAGAGGCGAGGGCTGCACGAGGCAGAGGACGGTGGGGCGGCGCAGTCGAGACGGGATGGGCCAGGCAAGGGTTTCACGGACCCAAAGCTTTCGTCTTAGGGGAAAACACTTTTCTTTCGATAATTTTGTTGGTTCATTTCTAGATCAAAAAATTGACTCTAACGAAAACGTGCATGTGCTAACCAGGCTCTGGAATGATCCCCCGGTCATACGGCATCATCGTAGAAAAGTATTTGCAGAGATCAAACAAGGTGAGGTCGTCAATTTGCTTTTCCTTTTATTATAAAAGTAAAATAAAAATAGCATTTATAAATCCAACATTTTTCCTTTAAAGTTTTGATCTAAAAAACATATTTACAATAGCAAAATGCAGAAAAAGGGGAAAATACCATTTTCAGCACTGATTGTAACCATGTTTAAATATCGACAAGTACATGTTCTCTTTTTTCAAATCACAGAGCTAACCACCTTAGAAAAAGCAATGAGCCTTTTTTATTGCACACTGAGTGACTCTCATTTTAAAACATCCCTTTTCTTATGCTTAAGCTGAATGCTGTGGATGGCTGGAGAGGACACAGAGTGGGGACAGTGACACCTTTTAATGACAGCAGGAGGCAGCAGGGGCAGCAGCGACGACAACAGAAGCAACGGTGATCCAGGAGCAGCCAGCAAAGCGCCATCAGCCACCCCCTCCCCGGCGACTGCCAGGTGCTATCTGCAAGAGAACCGAACTAAAACTCGGTTGTAGCCAAGAAAGGAAGCCAGGTGTGAAAGGCCTTCAACCAGATCGAGCACGACCGAGGCAGGCGCCTTTCCTCCGAGCACCTCTGGATGCACTTGGCCGTCCTTCCTCCGGCGCGCGGTGGGGGCTCAGGGCTTTGGTTCGGGCGGCGAGGACGCCGCCAGCGGGCTAAATCTCGCCTTCGATAGGCCCCTCCTGCCCGTAATCGGGGGGCGTTTTGTTAAGAGTTAGCAGTGGGCTGCTGCTGGTCAGAGACTCCATGAAGCTGAGTTTGCGGAAGGACGTCTCCACGCCGCTGTCGCAGATGCTGTCGTTGTCCCGGAGCTCGTCTGCGGGGAGAAAGCAGAAATTCACTGGGGGCACAATTGGGACAAGGCAAAGCCTTTGCTCTCTTACGCCTTCCGCTCCCGCTGGGCTCCGAGTTTGGCTCTAAAAGGCCCGTGAACCACTCCGTGGGCGCCTGTCGCCCACTGGCTGCCACCAGCCACCGCAGCCCCCCACGCCGCCCCTGTCACGACTGCTCGCCGCGGGGCCAGGGCAGGAGACACTAACATGCAAACTGAGGACATCAGATTTAGCCAGATGCTTTCACATTTTTCTCTTGCAATCTTGTGTCTATGAGAATCCTTTCTGAGTTCTCTTGACGCACAGTGTACCTTTTTTCCCCTTAGAAATCAGCTGTATTTTCCCAACCACTCTATTACTTATTTTATAACTGCAGACATTGCTGAGCCTAGGCAAAAGAAATTGGTAGCAGGAGGAGGAACTGAAGATGAGATCTCTCTCTGGGCCTCCTGAGCTATTAAACCGCATACATTGCCTTGAAAACATTTTTGGTAGCAAAAATGTAAGGTGATTTTGATGAAAATGAGTCTGTGGTGGAAAGTTAGGTTGACCACTCCTTACTGAGAGGCATCCTTAGGGATCTGACCAATGCGAACTATTTCCTATATAGAGAGAAGGACCAAGGAAACAGACGTCTAATAAACATTAATCAAAATGCTACCTTCTTACGTACCAAATTCTAATATTAGAATATTAAGACTTTAATGGCAGTGGCGTGGCTATCATCTTGGTATTGATTGATTGATTTAATCAACCCATCTTTATTTGGTATCTATTATGTGCTGGGAACGGTGATGTATTTTAAAAATAACTACAAATTAAGAGCTTAGTGCTTAGGTATTTACTTTTTAAGTAAATGTCTCCTTTGAATATTTGCGCAGAAGGAGCATGGGTTGTTTTGCTGGTGGGTACGTTATTCCTTTCTAAAGCTGCCCTCACTCTCTTAGGAAGGCCCCTGGCAGGGTGACACAGGTGCTGAAACTGAAAGGCAGGAACAGAGCCAGCCTGTGAAGAGCTTTCTGGGGAAGGGTAAGAGAAGGTTCAAAGGCCCTGAGGCTGCATCAGACTATCGTGCTGAGGGAGGGGAGGGGAGGGACAGCGGGGAGACAGAGTGTATCCAAGTGATGTTTTAAAAGAGAATGGGGGCCGGGCGCGGTGGCTCACGCCTGTGATCCTAGCACTCTGGGAGGCCGAGGCGGGTGGATCACTCAAGGTCAGGGGTTCGAAACCAGCCTGAGAAAGAGCGAGACCCCGTCTCTACTAAAAATAGAAAGAAATTAATTGGACAACTAAAAATATATAGAAAAAACTAGCCGGGCATGGTGGCGCATGCCTGTAGTCCCAGCTACTTGGGAGACTGAGGCAGGAGGATCGCTTGAGCCCAGGAGTTTGAGGTTGCTGTAAGCTAGGATGATGCCATGGCACTCACTCTAGCCCGGGCAACACAGGGAGACACTGTCTCAAAAAAAAAAAAAAAAAAAGAGAATGGGTAGGGCCAGGGGTGGCTCATGCCTGTGATCCTAGCACTCTGGGAGGCTGAGGCGGGAGGATCCCTTGAGGTCAGGAGTTTGAGACCAGCCTGAGCAAGATCGAGACTCCTTCTCTACTAAAAAATAAAAAAAGTTAGCCAGGTGTAGTGGCGCACATCTGTAGTCCCAGCTACCCGGGAGGCTGAGGGGGGAGGATTGTTTGAGCCCAGGAGTTGGAGGTTGCTGTGAGCGAGGCTGACGCCACGGCACTCTAGCCCAGGTGACAGAGCGAGACTCTGTCTCAAAAAGAAAAAAAAGAGAGAATGGGTAAAGCAGGGACGTGGCTGGGCACGCAGTATGGGCTCGATAAGGGTTTGCTGAATAAATGAAAAGAAGCGGGGAGCCAACAGCAGGAGCAACAGTCTCCATTAATTTTTAAGAAGAACGGTACCGTCTGCTGGGCAGAGGAGAGACTGGAGGGAGGCGGACAGAGAGGAGGACCCTGGTTGGGAGGCGCTGAGGGTCTGGGCGGGCAGTGGAGGAGGACTGGACGTGGGTGGCTGTCGCGAGAGGGGGACGCTTGCTGGGTTGGACGGGCGGCGACGAGCGCCCGAGGGCACTGGCGGGTAATTCCGAGGCTGTGTCTTAACCTCCTGGAGCAGGGCGGCGCTTCTGCCGCGCGTGGCCAGCGTGGGGTCTGGGGGCACCGAGAGCTCTGCGCGAAGAAGCGAGAGGGGCGCAGGACTGCGGGGAAGGCCGCGGGGAGCCGGGCTGGAGGAGGAGGGCGGGGTGCGCTGCCACGGAGGCTGCGGCATTCGAGAAGGGGAGGATGGCGGAAGCCGGTCACAGACAGAGCGGGCGGTGGGCGGTGGGGACGCACCTCGGCCGCGGGGGGTCGAGGCGAGCGCCGCCAAGGTGAAGAGGCGGAAGGGCCAACTCCGAAAACCCTTCTGGGAAGATCTGCCGTGCAGGGGTGAAGTGGAAGACTGGAAAGTTCCACCTAAGTGCAATTCTTAGAAATTCCACTACCGGGCTTTTTTTTCCCTGCGATCCTTACCTGGGCCCCCTCCTCCCCTGCGGCCTTGCCCTCATACATCGCCTGTAGCAATCAGCGTGCCAGGCTGCAAAGTGGCTCAGGACCCTGCCCCACTGAAGTCAACCCTGTTGCAGCCGAGCCCCTCCCCCTGAAGCAGAGTGTATGAAAGACTGCAGTGCTCTTTGTCTGGTGCTCAGAATTTGGGGAGAGTAAACTCCCCTCTGGGCCTTGCCGGCCGGCACAAAACCTGTATTGCCAAAGTCTCTGTGCGTGTCTCTCGGCCTGCTCTCGGTCACCCCTGCCGTACCGGGAACAGAAACTCTGCGCCGCAGCTAAAGGGGAAGCGGGGTCAGGACTTTGTTCTGTCTGTTTTGCTTCTGAAGATGAAGAAATTCCAGCGCGATCGCTGAGTGACACGGTGGGGCCGGCGACAGGCCGGCTGGCAGACTGGAGGGCGCAGAGATGAGCGAGTTCTAGCGGCTTCCACGTTTCCCACGGCGTGTGAGGCGCGGGCAGCGCGTGAGTTGGGGGAGGGAAGCAGTGTCGGGGCTCAGACAAAGCGTGAAATGGTCGCTCAGAGCTGTGGTCCCCAACCCCCAGGCTGTGGCCTGTCGCTGGTCTGTGGCCTGTTAGGGACTGGGCTGTCCATCACCACCTGAGCCCCACCCCTGCTTGCCCCCAGCCCTGGTCCGCGGAAACATCGTCTTCCGGGGAACTCAGGAAGCTGGTCGCACGCAGGAGGTGAGCTGCGGCCAGCAGGGGCAGCGCCATCTGTACTGTCCCCAGCGCCAGCCTCGCTGCCTGAGCTCTGCCCTCCCCTCCCCCCACCTGTCTATGGGAAAACTGTCTTCCAGGAAACCGGTCCCTGGTGCCAAAAAGGTTGGGGACCACTGTTTAGAGAGTGGGGGGATAAAATTATAGGAAATACAGGATTATTGGGCTGTGTCTAGAGTCCACTTCGTACGGTTTTGTGTTTTCTTTGGTGGGGTGACACACGGCGCCATCAACGGCGGGAGACAAGGTCATGAGCACGAGGGGGGCGGCTGGGGGAGCGGGAGGAGCCGAGGGCGGCGTGGGGGAGAATCGGGGTGTCCCTCTGCAGCCGGGGTGCTAGCTCTCACTCTGCAAACCTCAGGCTGGGCATTTCTCTCTCTCTCCCTCCCTAAATTTACGAAGCGAGAGAAATGACATTTGCCTTAACCGTCCACATCATGTCGATTCTAGCGTCTGTCGTGTTATTTAGTGTTCCTTAAGGACTCGCGTTACTGAGTGTCAGCGTGCCTTTCCATGGGAGCAGCCCCCGCGTGTGAATGGCAGTGTCCGGAGGGACAGGAGGTGAGCAGGAGCAGACAGACACGTGGGAGACACATCGGGAAGCTGGCGCCGGAAAGGGCGCTGCCACGCCGCGCCCCGAGGGAGCTGAAGACACCAGCCTGGGCAAGCGGGAGACGTCGCCACTGCGTTTTCTGTCTTTTTTCTTTACCTAGTTGCTGCCTCGTGCAGGAAGGCGAGAGAGGCAGCGAGGGGGCCTGAGCGGGGGTCTTCCCTGGGCCGGACGCCGCCTGGATCACGTTGATGGCTTCCGTGTAGCCCATCTGTCTCAGCGCCTCCACCAGCTCCCGGACCGTCCCCCCGGAGACCTGCGGGAAAGAGACGAGGGCGACCGTGGTCCTGTGTCTGAGGCGCTGTGCGGCTCCGGCGCCCACCTCTCCCCTCCTCTCCCCTCCTCTGAGAGAGGGCCTGGCAGCCCCGGGAAGGGCGGCGAAGAGTGACGAAGAGAACACACAGTCTGCGACTCGGGTTTCCCGTTTCACCTCAAACAGTCGGGAAATCGCAGAGAAGCAGCATATAGTAAACAGGCAGAGAGAGAGACAGAGAGAGAGAGAGAGAGAGAGACAGAGAGAGACAGAGAGGGAGAGAGACAGAGAGAGAGACAGAGAGAGAGAGAGAGAGAAAGAGACAGAGAGAGAGAGAGAGAGACAGAGAGAGAGAGAGAGACAGAGACACAGAGAGAGACAGAGAGAGGGAGAGACAGAGAGAGAGGGAGAGACAGAGAGACAGAGAGAGACAGAGAGACACACAGAGACAGAGAGACAGAGAGACAGAGACAGAGAGAGACAGAGACAGAGAGAGAGACAGAGACAGAGAGACAGAGACAGAGAGAGACAGAGAGGGAGAGAGACAGAGACAGAGACAGAGACAGAGAGAGACAGAGAGACAGAGACAGAGAGAGAGACAGAGAGACAGAGAGAGAGGGAGAGACAGAGAGGGAGAGAGAGACAGAGAGACAGAGAGAGAGACACACAGAGAGACAGAGAGACAGAGACAGAGAGACAGAGACAGAGAGAGACAGAGACAGAGACAGAGAGACAGAGAGAGACAGTGACAGAGAGACAGAGACAGAGAGAGACAGAGACAGAGACAGAGAGACAGAGACAGAGAGAGACAGAGACAGAGACAGAGAGACAGAGACAGAGAGACAGAGAGAGAGACACAGAGACAGAGAGAGGGAGAGACAGAGAGGGAGAGAGACAGAGAGAGACAGAGAGACAGAGAGAGAGACAGAGAGAGACAGAGAGAGACAGAGAGAGAGGGAGAGAGA